GATTTGTCCGTCGGACTGCCAGATGGTGAAGCATCACTCCAGAGAATGTGTTTCCACTGCTCCATAGTCCAATGGCGGGAGCTTTACACATTTTACATTTTCGTCATTTAGCAGACGCTCTTATCCAGAGCAACTTACAGTTAGTGAGTGCATACATTTTTCATACTGGCCCCCCGTGGGAATCGAACCCACAATCCTGGCGTTGCAAGCGCCATGCTCTACCAACTGAGCTACAGGGGACCTACACCACTCCAGCCGACGCTTGGCATTGCGCATGGTGATCTTAGGCTTGTGTGCTGCTGCTCGGCCATGGAAACCTATTTCATGAAGCTCCCGACGAACAGTTATTGTGCTGACGTTGCTTCCAGAAGAGTTTTAATGTTTTTTATGGTTTTTGCGACTGCACTTGAAGAAACGTTCAAAGTTCATGAAATGTTCCCTATTGACTGACCTTCATGTCTTAAAGTAATGATGGACTGTCGTTTCTCTTTGCTTATTTGAGCTGTTCTTGCCATAATATGGACTTGGTCTTTTACCAAATAGGGCTATCTTCTGTATACCCCCCCTACCTTGTCACAACACAACTGATTGGCTCAAACGCATTAAGAAGGAAAGAAATTCCACAAATTAACTTTTAAGAAGGCACACCTGTTATGTGAAATGCATTCCATGTGACTACCTCAGGAAGCTTGTTGAGAGAATGCCAAGAATGTGCAAAGCTGTCATCAAGGCAAAGGCAAAGGGTGGCTATTTGAAGAATCTCAAATATAAAATATATTTTGATTTGTTTAACACTTTTTTGGTTACTGCATGATTCCATATGTGTTATTTCATTGTTCTGATGTCTTCACTATTATTCTACAATGTAGAAAATAGTAAAAATAAAGAAAATTCATTCAATGAGTAGGTGTGTCCAAACTTTTGACTGGTACTGTATATGAAAAAGTGTATAAATCTAACTTCATTAGAATATACATACAGTGCCTTCGGAAACTATTCAGACCCCTTGACTTTTTCCACATTTTGTTACGTTACGGCCTTATTTTAAAATGGATTAAAAAAATATATTTCCCCTCAATAATCTACACACAATACCCCATAATGACAAAGCAAAAACAGGTTTTTAGAAAGTTCTGCAAATGTATAATAAAAAACAACTGGAAATATCACATTTACGTAAGTATTCAGATCCTTTACTCAGTACTTTGTTGAAGCACCTTTGGCAGCGATTACAGCCTCGAGTCTTCTTGGTTACAAGCTTGGCACACCTGTATTTGGGGTATTTCTTCCTTTCTTCTCTGCAGATCCTCTCAAGCTCTGTCAGGTTGGATGGGGAGCGTCACTGCACAGCTATTTTCAGGTCTCTCCAGAGATGTTCGATCGGGTTCAAGTTCGGGCTCTGGCTGGTTCACTCAAGGACATTCAGAGACTTGTCCTGAAGCCACTCCAGCATTGTCTTGACTGTGTGCTTAGGGTCGTTATCCTGTTGGAAGGCGAATGTTCGCTGCAGTCTGATGTCCTGAGCGCTCTGGAGCAGGATTTCATCAAGGATCTCTCTGTACTTTGCTCTGTTCATCTTTCCCTCGAATCTGACTAGTCTCCCGGTCCCTGCCTCTGAAAATCATCCCCACAGCATGTCGCTGCCACCACCATAGGGATGTTACCAGGTTTCCTCCAGATTAGATGCTTGGCATTCAGGCCAATGAGTTCAATGTTGGTTTCATCAGACCAGAGAATCTTGTTTCTCATGGTCTGAGAGTCCTTTAGGTGCCTTTTGGCAAACTCCAAGCGGGCTGTCATGTGCCTTACTGAGGAGTGGTGGAGTGCTGCAGAGATGGTTGTCCTTCTGGAAGGTTCTCCCATCTCCACAGAGGAACTCTGGAGCTCTGTCAGAGTGACCATCGGGTTCTTGGTCACCTCCCTGACCAAGGCCCTTCTCCCCCGATTGCTCAGTTTGGCCGGGCGGCCAGCTCTAGGAAGAGTCTTGTTGGTTCCAAACTTATTCCATTTAAGAATTATGGAGACCACTGTGTTCTTGGGGACCTTCAATGCTGCAGACATTTTTTGGTACCCTTCCCCAGATCTGTGCCTTGGAACAATCCTGTATCGGAGCTCTAAGGACAATTCTAAAAACACATTTTCACTTTGTCATATTGGGTATTGTGTGTAGATGGGTGACAAAAAATATATATTTATTCCATTTTGAATTCAGGCTGTAACACAACAAAATGTGGAATAATTCAAGGGGTATGAATAGATTTTGAAAGCACTGTACACACACTCAGTCTACGCTGCTGTTCCATTTAGGCCTACTATTTAAATTGCTTGACCAATACACTATCCACTTCATATTGTAATTACTGTCATACTTGACCGCACATTCAAAATGTATACTGTATATCCTATTGAGTACATATCAGTTTTATGACTTTGTATAAGACTTTCTTCTACTTCTTCTTATTTGACTTTTGAATATTATTTATATTGATAGGCCTATTTGTACTGCATTGTTGAGGGAGCTTGCAAGTAAGCATTTCACTGCACCTTTTACAGTGGTGTAAAGTAGGCTACTTAAGTAAAAATACTTTGAAGTACTACTTAAGTAGTTTTTTCCAGCATCTGCACTTTACTATTTATATTTTTAACCACTTTTGCTTTTGCTCCACTACATTCCTAAAGAAAATATGTACTTTTTACTCCCATAGACTTTTCCTGACTCCCAAAAGTATCCGTTACGAATGCTCAGGCAGGACAGCAATATGGTCCATTCACCCACCTATCACTATAATGTGTTGTCATCCCTACTTCCTCTAATCTGTCGGACTCACTAAACGCAAATGCTGCTTTTGTAAATTATGCTGAGTGTTGGAGTGTGGCACAAGAAAATCGTGCCATCTGGTTTGCTTAATGTAAGGTATTTGATGTATAGCATTTACTTTTAGCCTACTTTTTACTTTTACTCAAGTATGAGTTTTAGTACTTTTTCCACCACCTTAGGCTACTGAAGTGCATTTAAAACCAGATACTTTTAGAAGTAGTATTTTATTGGGTGACTTTCACCTTTACTTGAGTCACAGACAGACAGACAGACAGACAGACAGACAGACCACACCACACCACACCACACCACACTTCCGTGAAGTGTCACGAAAAATCGAGTCTAACCAGAGCGCAGCACTCCGTCACACCTCTTCAGTAATATCTGATCCTTGACAGCCGTGACCCGTGATACCCCTTCTCTCCTCAGTCCCTTCGCATCCCTCTCACTCTTAATAGAGACGCGAGGTTTTAGTGGGTGTGTTGGGGGGTGTGTGTAGTCTATATGTGTGTGTGGTGGAGTCTTGCTCCTGGCGATCAGTCAGCTGGTTCCTTATCATACCTCTTTCCTTCCCCTCCACACTGTCCGATTAGATGCGCGTGTTTGGGGGCCAAGGTAAACACGCATAGGCCCCGGCGGTGCTTATCAGCGCAAATAACAGCACCAAGTGGTGATGGGAGGCGCGCACGGAACTAAGTGGGACATAACAGGTCCCCTGTGACCGCCGGCCGCGAGAGATAGAACAGATCCAGCAGGGCTTTAGTGCACAAACTGGCATGACGCACGGGTTGGAATGCGTTGAAATAGAACGATGGCTATCAAATTGGCGTGTTTCTCACTCACTCCAGAGATTAATCTCTCTTCCACCTTTCTGAGCTGTCTTTGGGTAATTTTATTTATATTATGTTGGCCTATCTAAACTGCCCTTGAGAGAAAAAGTCCGTGGGTAATCCAAAAAGACGCACTCCCAGTTTGTTGTTGCCACTTTTTGTATAGATATCCAACTGAGATGTCCCATGTTTTCTCATTGCAGAGCTGTGAACAAGAAGCACTTCATTTCAACGGGAAGTTTAAGCGACATACATTTTTGGGAGGTGCACATGTGTTGCGTTTGAATATTTATGAGGCGCAGATCCAAAAGCTAAATAGATGTGAATGTCAAAAAACGGAAAGGTGGGCACACCCATCTGGTAGCACTTTCACGGTGCTTACCCCACCATATGTGCACAGAGCGCAGATGGAGCCTTCTGCGTATCTGCACGTCTAGTTTTGATTTACATTTGGTTGAGTTGTCAACTAACGTGAATTCAACATGAAATCAACAACAAATGTCACCATGTCAATGGATTTTGGTTAAAAGTTGGGTGGAAAAAATATATGAAATGCCCTTTTAAATCCAATCAGTTTTTCACACTGATTCAACGTCATCACATTTATTTTTGGGTTGAAATTACGTGGAAACAAGTAGATTCAACGTTTTTGCCCAGTGGGAAGGGGCCACTGGCCGCAGGAGGTGAGAGCAGCCACCGCCATCAATCCTAAGAGGAGCAGAGCACTGATCAACTGGGCCATCTAAATGTAGTAGCCTGTAATAGGTTTTTATTTTAGAAAATAGGCCTAGGCTATATTTTCTTCTCACATTATTATTCCCCCTCAAATTATAATTTTATTTTGATCATTTTGGGATTATTTTGTCATCGTTTTATAGATAGATAACTAATTAACAGTAATTACACCATTATTGTTCTGCCTTGGTGTGTGGATGTCCATTACGCAAATAGCCTACAATTAGCCTACCCTAACCACTCCAATCAACTTTGACTGGAAAAAAATCTCACATGATGAAATTCCAAGGCGTATAATATGGAGAAGAATGAATGGGGAGGATTGAGGAGTGCGGCCGCTGGGCACGGGGCTGCGGGGTGGAGTGGAGTGGAGTGGGCAGAGAGAGGGGCAGCAGCAGAAGACAGCTCTGCGCTCTCAGCCCTCCTCTGCTGTGCTCTGATGTGCGCTGCGCTGAGAAAAGGAAGCACGACTCTCTTATCACGTCACTCTGTGTTTAGGCGTTGAGCAGGAAACAGCCTTTCCTCTTGGATTGTCGCAGTAGGAACAAACACGATATTTTTTCCTTACTCAATGCACCCCTCAGCACAGAACACGCGGAAACCGGCCAGAAGGAAAAATGCCTCCTTCGGAGAAGATAGCTGTTCTGATTCTTGGCGTTCTGGTGCTGGAATCGTCCTGGAATGCCCAGCACAGCCCGTGGCTTGCCAGCGCGCTACAGATCCAACAGGCGTTCGCCTCACCAAACCAGACCAATAACTTTGTGGTGGATGAGGTGAGTAGAAAAGTCTACCTGGCTACGGTAAACATGGTCTACCAGCTTAACGGGACCCTGAGCGTGGAGGTGGAGAAGAGAACGGGGCCGGTGGAGGACAACCTGTTGTGCCATGCGCCGCAGCTGCCCCAAGCGCCCTGCGAGCACCCCAAATCCCTCACCGACAACTTCAACAAGCTGCTCGAGCTGGACCGGGAGCAGGGGGTGCTGGTGGTATGCGGCTCGGTGTACCAGGGCTTCTGTGAGCTCAGGAAGATGGAGAACATCTCTCAGATAGCGGTGGAGTTTCCCGCTCAGGGCGAGAAGACCGTGTTCCCCAGCATGCTGAATATCGCCGCGAACCACCCCAACGCTTCCACCGTGGGGCTCATCTTCAGGAGCCATGGGGGGAACACCCGACTCCTCGTCGGGGCCACTTACACCGGCGCTGGGACCCCGTTTTTCCCCAAGAACCACAGCAAGGAGGACCTGCGCTTCGAGAACACTCCCGAAATCGCTATTCGGTCCCTGAACATCAATGATTTATCTAGGCTGTTCACCTATGACATCAACCCGTCCGAGGATAACGTCTTCAAGATCAAACAGGAGGTGAAGCAGAAGAATAAACTAAACTTCGTCCATGCCTTCATTCAGAAGACCTACTCTTATATTGCTATCAACAATGACGCGAATATGGGACACAAGGAGAGCCAGCCGAACAGCATCCTGGCCAGGATATGCCTGGACACCGAGACCCCCCGAAAATCCACCTCAGAGAGCCGTAAACTCACTGAGTCCTTCATCCAGATGCCGCTCCAGTGTGGATATAACGGGAACATCTACAACCGGCTCGTCTCCGTTCACCCCGCGGAGATCCACTCGGGGACCGGAGAGGGGCTGGAGTCGTACCTGTTCGGAGTATTCACCAAATCAGACAGAAAGTCTGCACTGTGTGCGTTTCGGTTCTCAGACATTGAGGAGGAGATCCGTCAGGGCCGGAGGAACTGCTCCAATTCCCACAGCAGCGAGGTGCAGGTACTGGACAGCGTCATCCAGGGCTCGGGCGCAGCGTGCATACACAAAGGGATTCTGGTGGTAAGTCAAGGATGAAAACTATCATTGCATTTTGTTTTAAACTTCAGTGAGATTTGTAGGACTATTCATATTTGTGAGACTTGGTGGGAACTCATTTTATTTAATATTATTTGATTTAGATAAATTTAGGAGCCACACTTATGCATGGAACGCGCTGTAAAAAAAATAATCCGAAATATGTGGGTTTATTGGACTTGCTACTACAGGCCTGAATAAATACATCTTCAAAATATGTTGATTTTGGCAACAGACAGTTTTAATAATGAATCACCCCGTATCATTTCTGTGGGAAAAGTTCCCTTGTCAGGAGCGCGCCCAGGTCCGTGATTGTGTGAAGGATCTGGTTATGGGAACCGTGCGGGGTAGGCTACTTCTGTTAAACTCTCATCCACGCCAGTGCATTCAAGCTTTCGGCCTCTACTGGAGACATAGAATGGACTTTTGGTTTTTTAAAGTAAACATTCGTTTATCGTCAATACTCAACAACTTTTTTAATTAAATGTAGGGTAACATTATTATTTTTCCACTGGGCAAACTGATTCGTTCTCTACGAAATGGTAGTATCATAGGCCATAATCATAATCGAGGTTAATCAGTATACAATGTGTTTATTGTGTCAAATAACATAACACATGCTCTTAGATTAGGCCTATTTTATTTTTTAAGAAGGAAACACATTTTTACGTACACAATTCAAGAAGAAAAGTGTCTACTTATTACCTTATAGGTCATATCTATAAAGGCTATGACTTTCACACTAAATCCCCTCTCATTATTTAAAGGACCCCTATTACTCAAACAAAGTGTCTCATAAAATGTCTTTATGCCTCTCGCCGCTTTTGAGGAATGCTGTGAAATTCCATCCTCTCATTGTGGTGAGGCAGGTCTCCGGTCTTTTCGAGACCATTGCGTTGTCAGTCAGGTCGTAAAGATGCTACACAGCACATTTGCGGGTGTTCAAATCTCGGTGTTGAGGTAAAAAATGTTGTGAGTGAAATTTACACCACCTGCAGTGAATAAATGAAGTGTTATTTGAATCAGTTGAATCACTGAATCACAGTTGAATCATCACCTTGTGGTGTTGTTGTTACTTGACTGTGTTGAGTTAATTTCCATGAGCTCTCTGAGTTAAAAAGACATGGGAGTGGCTCATTACCATATTTCCCAGTATGCTTTGCTGCAGGTTGCTTTTTAGAATAGTTAGTTTTAATATCTATGTTTCTGCATGCACATTGATTGATTAATTGGTCTTATAGCCTACCACACAAAGATAAATAATATACATTATTCTAAACTAAGCCAATTTGTAAGTGGTTGTTCCAGTTTAGATGGTTTAGGTAGTCTCATTTATTAATCTTCCCACATTGGCAGTCATTCTAACTGCAGTTGTGTGTGATTAAAAGTTCCAACTGTTGGCTATCCTAACTGGCTGGATTCCAATTTAAATAACACCTTGCAAGCCAGAATAATATGACATGCCTATGTGGCCTGCAAACCCGGAGTTTCAGACCACTGTGTTAGGGTAAAACTAGGCTGTCGGAGTATGGTATTGTCAAAAAAAGTAATATAATGTCATAAATAATGTAATTTTTATGATAAAATATGAACTTGGTGAAGGTTATATGACTGAAAGCCATCAAATGCCACAATAATGTCTCTGTCACTAGCAAACCCAGTCATGGGTGGTACTGGTACCTCTAAAATTCCCTCGAAAGGCACCCTGGAAAAAAATATGCAAATAAGGCTTTACACCTAACAGTTTTAAAACCAGTGGAGAACGACTGCCCCCTCTCATTGAAGCCACGAGAGTTCAAAGCCGACCGTGGTACTGCAGGCATTGTTATCAGAAAACAGGATTCCCCCATTATAGTGAATGGAAAAAGGGCAATCTTTGTGTATGTTTTTTTTTTTTTTTTGAAGACAATCATGCTGCCAATAATTACTTGTAATACACCAGATGTATGTACTTGAACTGATTATTTTAAAATCGCACACAGAAGAAGATGTCAGCCTGCAGTGGTCGGCCTTCAACTTCAGTTACTCAATGAGAAGGGCAGCACTTATCCTAACCTGCAACGTCACTTCCTGGAGTAGCTCAAACTGCATATGTTATGTCTCTATGAGACGCCATCTTAACCGACTTCATTTGGCTTCAAAATCCATAAGAGTCTAATGACTCACCCGTTTGTCAATCTAATTAACATAATGCAAAAAAAAAAACATAAAAATCTGTCAGTTTAAGCTTGAGATATATATGTTTTGGGTTGCATGGGCTGTGTCTCAATCCACCGCATCTGTGGTGGAAAGTGGCATAGCTACATCGCTGTTTGTCAGACCAGGAGACATCTCGAAAATCAGTCTTCTCACAAAACATTTGTAGCGTCCGAAAGGCCTACTAACTAATATGACCACTCTATGGAAAGATGAGACTCGCAGGAGCACGATGGTGTTCGCCGTTTTGCTCTATGATCCCCACAAGCCCCACGGGACTCGTCTGAAGTCGGTACCGCAGATGTGCCAACTTCTGTCTGTAGCGTCCAAACAGTTTGGGCTACAAACTAATATGACCCCACTGTACTAACCTCACTCTCTGCCTGCTTCCTCCCTCTCTCTGTCTCTTCTGCTTGCTCCTGCATGCATTGAAGCCTGCCTCAGCCTCAACACTGAGCGCCACATCACTGTCTTTCTCAGAAGCCTGTAAAGCAAAGTTATTTTGAGAACTTAGTAGCCTATTTTTTGCTCCTGCTGAGGCGTCTCCATTTAACGTTAGCTTCTTACTTCATCCTTCTAGCTGGCTAAGTAATAGGCCTACTAGCCAGAGCCCTTCAACATTACTGCAATAGAAGTTGCTGCCGGCAGCTAGCCACCTGACTGACTGACATATCTAAGCGACTATTTACCAGTTGTGCACTCATTTTCTGAGAGTCAGTGTATGATTGTTTGGGGGATGTCTGGGAAAAGGGAAAGAGGATACCTAGTCAGTTGCAAAACTGAATTCATTCAGCCGAAAAGTGTCTTCCGCATTTAACCCAACACTTCTGAATAAGAGAGGTGCGGGAGGCTGCATTAATGGACATCCACGTCATCGGCGCGTAGACCTGACAGGAGACACGGGACGGTTTTACAATTGACTTTTGTCCGGCATCTTGCTAACACACTGTGAACAGCGCCGCTAGTTCCATACTTGAGCCGACTCCGAGCTGGGGCAGTTCGTTTCACGTCTCAGACCCTCGGGTTAGACGTTTGAGAGACTGGTGAATGTGCTGATAAAAAGGCAAATCCTGTTGCAAATCCAGGGGACACAGGCAAACATAACGAACAAACCACCGTTCATGGTTCCACTTGTTCGCAAAAGGCAGGCGCGATTAGAACCAATGATAAATATATACACATGTATACTCAAGAATATAAGAATTTTGAACAACGCTGGGAGCAATATTTAGATGTTGACCCGTAATTGATTTTCTTGTGTCCAAAATATACATTTTTATCATAATTGCCTGCCTGTCTCGCTTCCTGTTTATTGAGATATTTTAAACTGACTCAAAGTTTGATCATTGGCTATTTGTCTCTTTATTTCCATCTGTCAGCTGCAACCGGAGCAGCTGGACTGTGGAGCGGCCCACCTGCAGCACCCACTGGCCCTACGAAGGCCCTTGAGGGCCACACCCCTGTTTGAGTCCCTGGGCCTCAGCTCTGTTGTCGTGGACAATGTACATGACCACACCGTGGTGTTTCTGGGCACCAGCACCGGACGACTGCGCAAGGTCAGAGGAACTGCTTTATTGACATCCATTTTTCTTTCAGGAATATTCACATTTCCAAAGTAGAGAGAGCAGTTTTAGTTGTTATCCTTTTTTTCTTGTAAAGGAAGAAATATACAGCTGCTAAGCCTACTACCTCACAGTCTAACTGTGCTGCATGAATTTAAGAGCAAACTTAATGGGCCAGAGATATTCAGCCATTCTTTATTTCTGGAACTTAATTGAAATTATGAAAGAAGTAACAGAGAAGTGTCAGGTGTAAATTACGATAGATTGAACTGCAGGGAAAAGTGCATTTTGGAGGTAACAAATAAAGATGAGACATTGTTAACATGAGAAAATAACGTAGAAGTACTGTAGGTCTAAAAGGGTGCTGACATTCATTGTAAAGAATGGCAGATTTAAAATGCAAGGCACAGTAAAAATGAATGTTCTCATATGACAAAATGCTATGCAGGACAAGGCGAGAGCATCTGAGTAGAGTGAGGGAAAGTGTACAGAGTCAAGAGAATATTTGTTTTTATGTGGGTGACACACACACACACACACACACACAGACAGACAGACATATACACACATGCTGTGAGAACACACACACAGCACATAATCATGGGGTATGGGGTATGCACACTGGGTAAACACCAAACCACTTTCACTCAGTGGCATAACGACACAGGCAGACAACCCAAAACACATCCAAAACCTAAATATGCAATCAGGCCAGACAATTTGGACACACACAAACAAACCACCTTAACCACTACCATACATCCGGCATAAACAAAAAAAAGTCCATTCATCTCGGCAAGCCAACAGAAAGCTCTTTTACAAGGCCTAAAACAAGACACCCTCCAGCAACATATTTCTAATGTTGTAAAAGGTACCAGTCTAATGCAACAAAAAAAATACATATGAAAGCAGATGCTTTGGACAGATGCCTCATGTCCCCCCCTATGACCACATCTGGACACATAAAAAAATTACTTAAAATAAAAACAGACTTTTTCATTCACTATGGCTGAGGTGGATTCATAGTTCATCACTTTATCTTTAACCTGAACCTTCACCTACCAGGGTTTCGGTTAGCCAGTAATAGCTGTTTTTCTGCCAATAAAAAAATTGAAAAGCTGATCAATAAAATTGGCCCCTGCCAATGGAAAAAATCCCATTGTGAAATAATGCTTTTTAGCTTATTCATTGATGGAAATACCAGTCGATGGAAATACATTTGACTGGTCATGCTTATCGGTCTATAGATTAATTTGTATAATTTAGTGGAATTAAATGAGCGGGTGTGTACAGTAGGCTAGGCTATATTCGTTATATAACTTATTTATCACGCCATACAGCATACAGATACAGAGCCTTTGAGCGGAAAATCTATCAGACAGCGCGCGAGCTGCTGCCACAGCATCTCAAACAGCAAATAGAAGGGAACGGAAGGCAGGCTTCATCAGCAGGGTTCATCAGCTCCTCAAACACCCCTTTGCAATGAGCTGGACGCAGTATGCATTTTGAAAACTTTTACTTAATTGTTTGAAACCTGAACATTTTACTACATATTATGAGGCATGTTCTAACTTGCTTCAAAGTAGCCTAGCCAATATCAGACCATATCCTTGTAGGCAATTATTTTAAATACATTTTCTTTCATTGTCTAGTAGCCAAAGGCACAATCCTAGTCATATTAGCAACCCATTCTAGTTGTTTCATATTAGATCTCCCTCTTTCAGAATTTCTAACAGATATTTTCATCTCTGTCACATGAAACCGCTCCCAAGTGCGGTTTGCTTTTGACAGTGATGTTTCCCCTCTAATTGCATTATGGAAGGAACATTCGCACGTAGCCTACTGCCTTATGCGAATTGCTGCACTTATAATGTGAAGAAATAATAGTTTATCAACATTTTAAACTAAACGTTCTGATCTGTTGCATCAGACTCACTGCTTTTTAACTTTTTTAAATGTAGCCTTACTAGTTGTATGGATTTGGTATCTATCACCCACAACTGTCCCAGAGTCGGTTTGGAATAGGCTATTTCTTTCTCAACAAGCTGACCAATAGAATAGGTAAATTTTTCTACTATGTGGGATAGGCTAGTGATTTTGCTGTTTGTTACACGTCTTGTTGGCTAAGGAAAAGTAAATGTGGACATTTGTTCTAACATCTTTAAAGTGCACATCTTTGCATCCTTGACTTGCATGTTCTGTTAATGTGAATGACATAATCTCAATGTGATTTCTGTCATTCTGAGCACCGTGGGTGGACGCCCTAATCAGGTTCCACACCCAATGCATATGGGTCCGGTAAATTTCTCAAATGTCAGGTAAATTAAAATGCTGCCTGCGCCACACTTTCCTAAAGGAAACCCTGATGTGTGTGTGTGTGTGTCAATATGGAGCATGTTGTATGTGCCTGGGGCACACGTATCATGTCTGTGTGTTTTATGCTGTGTGTGGGTGCGTGCGTGTGCACATTTGTGTGTGTGTTTGTGTTTGCCCTGGGGGCCGCACTGTAACAGAGGGTAATGGTGCTGTTAGTGTGTGTAATGTGATTCTGTCTGTGAGCTTGGCTCAGGCTGAGTAGTACAGAGCACATGGGAACAGTGGTAGAGATTGAGTTAGGCCTCTGCTACTGGGGGTAGAAGACCCTCAATGAAGTAATTACAGACATTTTTAACGAAGTCTCTCAGCACTGTCTCTCTATTTTACTCTCAGTCTCTCTATGTCTCTATCTCTGTCTCTCTGTTTTCCTCTTTCTGTATCCGTCTCTGTCTCTCTCTTGCTCCCTCTCTCTTTCTCTGTCTCTCATTTATTTCCCTCTCACTCCACCTCCTCCCATCTCAGTTTGTCTTTCATTGTCCCTCTCCCTCTCTGTCTCTCAGTCCACTATCTCAACCATAAAAAGGGTCCTTTGATTATATTGTAAACAAACACACACACACACTATTCTCTCCCCCCCCCCCCCCCCCCCACCACCACCACACACACACACACACAGAGAGAGAGAGCTTGGAGCAGCTGAGTACTCCTGAGTTGAATAGAGTCTTTCATGTTGGGGTAGACAGACAGAGGAGAGGGAGAGAGAGGCAGTGACCTGCCAGTATACAGCAGGTGTTTTGTTGTTTGACCTAGCTGTGTCCAACCCATCTCCACCCCTCCATAGCTCCCTGCTATCTGCCCAGGTGTGTGCTATTGGGTGGCTCTATTGTGACCCTGTATGTTTGATCTTTATTGGCATGCCTGTGTGTGTGTGTGTGTGTGTGTGTGTGTGTGTGTGCGCGCACGTGCCTGTGTGCATATGTGTTTGTGTGTGTGTGTTCTTGTGTTGTGTTGTGTTGTGTTGTGTTTAGTCACTAGAAAAGCAGCCGAGTCTGTAACTGTCACCAGAACAGTCTCTGGCTGGTTTCCTCAGGATGGCAGGATGTCCATAGAGCTGAGACAGAAACCGCAACGATTCACAACAACAAGCTCTCTCACTGTCTGTGTGACAGGAAGTCACATCCGTAGCATTGATTTGTCTGTGGTCTATGGATCACTGTGTGTATATGGGAGTATGTATGTGCAAGATTCCAAAGACTTTATCATTTTTGTAAAGAATTTTGTGTACTCTTGTGTACATCTTACAGTAATCTTTTCGACTGTGCCTTTCCTCAAGAAGCGCTTTGTTAAAGGCCTTAATATCATTTTAGTATTTTCAAAGTATGGAGGGTGAGTTGTGCAGGAGTGGACTGAAGTGCATGTTTGCTAAATCACAGCCCAGTGAAACTGTGAGATGGCCTAGTTAATGAATCTTCTTACGAATGAAATCCATCAAATAAAAAACTTAAATCACTGGTAATCATGACCTAAATTGTTACTTAACTTGTTACGTGTCTTTGTGTGTACTAAGCACTCTGCCTGTCTCCCACAGCTGACCCTCCTGAAGAACCTGACTGTGGCCAATCAGTGGGCTCTGAAGCTCCCAGCCGGCGAATCTGTGCACCACATTATGACCTTTGACCCCATAGACAGGAACTACCTCTACCTTATGACTTCTCACCATGTAAGGCTGTGGGATCAATACTCTCATCCATCAACTAGACTCAGTTAGACTGATTCATGTTCTCCATGACAATGGCATTGGTTTAGTTTGTTTGACATTCATCATGCCTTTCGTTAATGCATTTTTCTGGTTTTGCCTAGTGAGTGGTCATATTTTTTAAATGAAAAACAGATATTATTTAGCAGTTATTACAAGTTTCTGAATAAGTTATATTAGATCCATGCACTTCACATCAGATAAATAAATGCACATATTTTTTTAGATAGATAACAACTTTCAAGAGGAGATTTCAGCAGTCTGCTTTCTGTTTTTGATTTGACAAACCAAATAATGCTAGATGAGCAAATATGCATAGCCTTGTCGGATGTTTTAGGAGGATGTGGTGGCACCTTGTCTCAAGATGTTGTACGTTCAACAATGCACAAAGGCATGCCTATTCAACATCAGAATATGTTAGACAAAGAGTGTGAGACACTTGGCATGTGTCTGAAAGCCAAGCGACATGTTTCGCGTAATAAACGTGATAAGACCATGTGTGGTCAGTGTGTATGACAGTGTGCAAATGTACACAACATACTAAAATAGAAAAGGAAGTGTGTATAATATACTATATATAATATACTATATATAATATACTGTATTATGTACAGTTTGTTGAGTGTCTGTATGTGTGGTTCTGTCCATAGCTCCTGAGGGTAAAGGTAGCAGCATGTGGACAGTACAGAACCTGCAGTGATTGTCTGGGGGCCAGCGACGCTCACTGTGGCTGGTGCACACTGGAGAGCAGGTAAGAACTACGGCCACCCATGTAAACCAATCAACCGACCAACCAACCAATCAATCAATCCTCACTTTAGTGAGGTGCAGTCGTGTAGTAGTATAACATGTTATACTAGTGAAATAAGGAGTTTTAGGAGACTGAGAGAAGAGGGACTGTGAGAGAGCTGATTATTGATGTTGGAGAAGTGAGGAGTTTAATGAGGAGTGACTGTGTACTTTACTGTAAGATTACTGTAAAAAGTGGTGTTGGAGTACAGTGCCTTGCAAAAGTATCCATCCCCCATGGCGTTTTTTCGTATTTTGTTGCATTACAACCTGTAATTTAAATTGATTTTTATTTGGATTTCATGTAATGGACACACACAAAATAGTTCAAATTGGTGAAGTGAAATGAAAAAAATAACTTCTAAGAAATCAAAAAAATTAATAACGGAAAAGTGGCGCGCGCATATGTATTCACCCCCTTTGCTATGAAGCCCCTAAATAAGATCTGGTGCAACCAATTACCTTCAGAAGTCACATAATTAGTTAAATAAAGTCCAGCTATGTGCAATCTAAGTGTCACATGATCTGTCACATGATCTCAGTATATCTACAACTGTTCTGAAAGGCTCCAGAGTCTGCAACATCACTAAGCAAGGGGCACTACCAAGCAAGCGGCACCATGAAGACCAAGGAGCTCTCCAAACAGGTCAGGGAAAAAGTTGTGGACAAGTACAGATCAGGATTGGGTTATAAAAAAAGATCTGAACATTTGAAAATTTGAACATCCCACCATCAAATCCATTATTAAAAAATTGAAAGAATATGGCACCACAACAATCCTGCCAAGAGAGGGCCGACCACCAAAATGCATGGACCAGGCAAGGAGGGCATTAATCAGAGGGGCAACAAAGAGACCAAAGATAACCCTGAAGGAGCTGCAAAGCTCCACAGTGGAGATTGGAGTATCTGTCCATAGGACCACTTTAAGCCGTACACTCCACAGAGCTGGGCTTTACGGAAGAGTGGCCAGAAAAAAGCCATTGCTTAAAGAAAAAAATAAGCAAACACGTTTGGTGTTTGCCAAAAGGCATGTGCGAGACTCCCCAAACATATGGAAGAAGGTACTCTGGTCAGATGAGACTAAAATTGAGTTTTTTGGCCATCAAGGAAAACGCTATGTCTGGCGCAAACCCAACACCTCTCATCATCCTGAGAACACCATCCCAACAGTGAAGCATGGTGGTGGCAACATCATGCTGTGGGGATGATTTTCATCGGCAGGGACTGGGAAACTGGTCAGAATTGAAGGAATGATGGATGGCACTAAATACAGGGAAATTCTTGACGGAAACCTGTTTCAGTCTTCCAGAGATTTGAGACTGGGACGGAGGTTCACCTTCCAGCAGGACAATGACCCTAAGCATACTGCTAAAGCAACACTCGAGCGGTTTAAGGGGAAACATGTAAATGTCTTGGAATGGCCTAGTCAAAGCCCAGACCTCAATCCAATTGAGAATCTGTGGTATGACTTAAAGATTGCTGTACACCAGCGGAACACATCCAACTTGAAGGAGCTGGAGCAGTTTTGCCTTGAAGAATGGGCAAAAATCCCAGTGGCTAGATGTGCCAAGCTTATAGAGACATACCCCAAGAGACTTGCAGCTGTAATTGCTGCAAAAGGTGGCTCTACAAAGTATTTACTTTGGGGGGGGGGGGGGGGGGGGTGAATAGTTAGGCAAGCTCAAGTTTTCAGTTTTTTTGTCTTATTTCTTGTTTGTTTCACAAGAAAAAATATTTTGCATCTTCAGAGTGGTAGGTATGTTTTATAAATCAAATGATACAAACCCCCCCAAAATCCATTTTAATTCGAGGTTGTAAGGCAACAAAATAGGAAAAATGCCAAGGGGGGTGAATACTTTCGCAAGCCATTATAGATCATGGTAATTGCTGTGAAAGGAGTGAGAATATAGTATTAAGAATGTGGGTCTGTCAGTGATGTGGGTATCTCTCTCTCTCTCTATCTGTCTCTCTCTATTATCTCTGTGTCTGAGGGCTGTGTTGGTTATGGCTGGGTGAAAAAAGCAGATCAACAGATGAGATGGGGGTTAGTGATGTGTTGGGCTGCGCTGGCTGACTGGGGCTCTGGCAGGGCTAACATGGCCAGGGGGCACCGAGGGGGAGAGAGAGGGAGGGAGACTGTTGTTTGAGGACTGAGGAGAGATTTATGTGACAGACTAACGCTGTCTGTCTATCTTTAATCTCTCTCTCACCTCTTTTTATTTTTTATATATATTTTTTAATTATATATATTTTAATTATATATATATTTTTTTTATTAACCATCCTCTTCGGAGGATGTAGAGGTCTGTAATTTTTATCATAGGTACACTTCAACTGTGAGAGACGGAATCTAAAACAAAAATCCAGAAAATCACATTGTATGATTTTTAAGTAATTAATTTGCATTTTATTGCATGACATATGTATTTGATCACCTACAAACCAGTAAGAATTCCGGCTCTCACAGACCTGTTAGTTTTTCTTTAAGAAGCCCTCCTGTTCTCCACTCATTACCTGTATTAACTGCACCTGTTTGAACTCGTTACCTGTATAAAAGACACCTGTCCACACACTCAATCAAACAGACTCCAACCTCTCCACAATGGCCAAAACCAGAGAGCTGTGTAAGGACATCAGGGATAAAATTGTAGACCTGCACAAGGCTGGGATGGGCTACAGGACAATAGGCAAGCAGCTTGGTGAGAAGGCAACAACTGTTGGCGCAATTATTAGAAAATGGAAGAAGTTCAAGGTGACGGTCAATCACCCTCGGTCTGGGGCTCTATGCAAGATCTCATCTCGTGGGGCATCAATGATCATGAGGAAGGTGAGGGATCAGCCCAGAACTACATGGCAGGACCTGGTCAATGACCTGAAGAGAGCTGGGACCACAGTCTCAAAGAAAACCATTAGTAACACACTACGCCGTCATGGATTAAAATCCTGCAGCGCACGCAAGGTCCTCCTGCTCAAGCCAGCGCATGTCCAGGCCCCTCTGAAGTTTGCCAATGACCATCTGGATGATCCAGAGGAGGAATGGGAGAAGGTCATGTGGTCTGATGAGACAAAAATAGAGCTTTTTGGTCTAAACTCCACTCGCCGTGTTTGGAGGAAGAAGGATTAGTATACCCCAAGAACACCATCCCAACCGTGAAGCATGGAGGTGGAAACATCATTCTTTGGGGATGCTTTTCTGCAAAGGGGACAGGATGACTGCAGCGTATTGAGGGGAGGATGGATGGGGCCATGTATCGCAAGATCTTGGCCAACAACCTCCTTCCCTCAGTAAGAGCATTGAAGATGGGTCGTGGCTGGGTCTTCCAGCATGACAACGACCCAAAACACACAGCCAGGGCAACTAAGGAGTGGCTCCGTAAGAAGCATCTCAAGGTCCTGGAGTGGCCTAGCCAGTCTCCAGACCTGAACCCAATAGAAAATCTTTGGAGGGAGCTGAAAGTCCGTATTGTCCAGCGACAGCCCCGAAACCTAAAGGATCTGGAGAAGGTCTGTATGGAGGAGTGGGCCAAAATCCCTGCTGCAGTGTGTGCAAACCTGGTCAAGACCTACAGGAAACATATGATCTCTGTAATTGCAAACAAAGGTTTCTGTACCAAATATTAAGTTCTGCTTTTCTGATGTATCAAATACTTATGTCATGCAATAAAATGCAAATTAATTACTTAAAATCATACAATGTGATTTTCTGGATTTTTGTTTTAGATTCCGTCTCTCACAGTTGAAGTGTACCTATGATAAAAATTACAGACCTCTACATGCTTTGTAAGTAGGAACACCTGCAAAATCGGCAGTGTATCAAATACTTGTTCTTCCCACTGTATATAGCATTCTGTTGGTGGCAAGAATTTTATATAATAATTTAAATTGAAAAACTCAAAGTATTGAATCAAGTGTTGTTTTTTGTACCAGTTCATAAACCATGTGCCATGGAATCGGTACATCGAAAATCTCTTCCCGTTTATTTTGCAACCTGTTTGGTGCAGCTGTCAACATTTTTGTCCTCAAATGAAACTGGTATATTTTTCTATTTATGCCAATTCCTTTCAGCCAATTTGTATCTTTAATATATGGCAGACAAACGAGTCGTCTGGAGTAGGCAGTGCCACTAGTAAGTAAGTAAACTGTGATAGGACCAAAGAGTTAATCAATGTGATTTTTCCATAAATAGACAATTATTTACCTCTCCATGGTTGCAGAATCTTATCTATTTTTGCACATTTTCTATTGAAATTGATTGTGGTAAATTAATTTGATTTTTGAGATATGAATACCAAGTATGTCTACTTCACCATCCGCCAATTTTATTGGTAAACTACAAGGTAGTGTAAACACTGTGTCTTTTAACGATCCAATACGTAATATGGTACACTTGTCATAATTGGGTTTTAGTCCAGAGAGGTTAGAAAAGTGATCAAGGTCTTCAATGAGACTGTGCAAGGATCCAGATTGTGGACTTAAGAAAAAACTTGAGTCATTGGCATACATTAACACTTTAGTTTTTATCCCCTGGATTTCTAACCCCTGGATGATCTTGTTGGATCTGATTTTAATAGCTAGCATTTCTATGGCCATAATAAATAGATATGGAGACAACGGACAGCCTTGTTATACTCCTCTTAAAAGCTCAATACTTTCTGAGAAGTAACCATTATTTACTGTTTTACACCTAGGGTTGCTGTTCATAACTTTAACCCATTGTATATGAGATTAACCGAAATTAAAGTAATCCATGCATTTATATATATATATATATATATATATATATATATATATATATATATATATATATATATATATATATATATATATATATATATATTCTAGTCGTACTTTATCAAACGCCTTTTCAAAATCTGCCATGAAGATCAGGCCTGGTATCTTTGATGTTTCATAATGTTCAATTGTTTCAAGTAATTGTCGTATATGATCTCCCAGTGTATCA